CCCTGGGCTCAGGGGTCACGGTTGGTGCTGGTGGAGGGGATCACACTCACTGCAGAGTCCTCTCATTGGGAACTTGTTAAAAAACCCTGCCTTCCTGGCTGTTTCTCCCCAAATCTTCAGGAGGATGGAGTTAAACAGGATGAATTTCAGGGAGAGCCCCCCCTGCACCCTCAGCACAGGACACTCGGTGGGCAGCACGTGCCGAGTGAGGGGCAAAGGGGTTTTGGGGCAGCAACACCCCCATCATTCCTGTCTTCCCACCCAGCCTCTGGTGTGACTCAGGACAAGGTCCCCCCTTGTCACTTGGTGGTCCAAAACCATCACATTCCCAGCTGGACCAGCCCCAAACTTATTAGGCATCAAACCTATTCACCCTCCTGAGGCTCAGCCGCTCCCAGAGTCCATCCCCACATTAAAAATCTCAGCTATTTCTGCATCTATCTAAAAAAACCCCCAAACCCCTCCACCCCAGCTTGCACTAACGAGAAAAGCAGCCCCCAATCTGGTACAAGACAAATTATTTTCTTTCCCTGGGGATGGAAATAAGTTCCTAAGAGGGACTCGCTGAAAAGACACGAGATGACTCATTTCTTCAGCGCCGAAGCTGAATCAATCCCCAGCACCTCTAATTCCCATCAAAAGCCAGGAGACCGAAAGCACGGGGGGTTCACACAGCACAAAGCCCAGGAGCTCCTTTTCCTGGAGATGAAAGAGCCATGAATTAATCCCCTGTATCACCTACTCCCCCAGGATGGGCTCAGCTGCCTCCAGCCCTCGCTCCCCGCAGCCAGGAGCTATTTTTTCCCGTTCTCGCCAGTGTCAATATGTTTCCTTAAATATCTTTTTGGAGAGGCTGTATATATATAGCCCCACTCTGGTGCTTTGAAAGGAGCCTCATTTCCTGTGTAAGAACTGAAGTTCTTGGCAAAAGCTGCCTCAGGCTGCAGCATCCGAACCACAAGAATTGTTTTTTTTCAGTAGTAAAATGGTATTTCCTCCACAACTGAGAGCTGGACTGAGCTGGGTCAGGTCTGAAACCAGCAGGGCTGCTCTGGGTGGGACATACAGGGCCATATTCCCAATGATACAAATGACAGGAGAAAGGGATTAATTGCATTAGTGGGGCTGCAAAGGTGCCTGGAGATGGCACAGCCCATGGCAGCAACGGGATGGGCACAAAGTTGCTTTTAACCTGCACTTGGCTGTGAGAAAGTTTGGTTCCCACATGAAAAGGATTTATTAACCAATACCAGGGCAGGAAAAACAAATCTATTTCATGTGTAGCTGATACTTTTTCTCCTTCTTTTGCATCGTCTCTCTGTTCCTGACTTTTGAGAGGGCTCCTCCAGCAGCAAAGCAGGATGGAAAACAGCTTTGCAGCCCCTGAGGGATTGCTCACGGATACCCAGGACCTTAAAAACCATCGGGGGGAGATGTAGCACCAGCTGTGCCCTGCCAGGAACGTGTCACACCTTCCCACTAGGAATCCCTGAGCTGGAGGATCTGACACCTCCAGCACCACCTCGGGGATGCTGATGGCAGGAGTGGGGATGCAGCCAGAACAACAATCACCTTCTGCTGCAAATATGTCTTTCCAGGGACATTTCTGAGTCATAAATGGCTTTTATTGCTGCACGCAGTCCCAAGGACTCAGCGTGAAAATGTGCCAGAGCTGGTGGTGGCTGTGGCAGCCCAAGTGTTCCCTGTTTCCCTTTGCTTCTCCATGACGTTCCCAGAAGCAGCCAAAGAGGCTGAAGTGCAAGTTTTTTAGATTTTCTGCAGGAATTTTAAAGAAGTGTCTTCTCCCAGCGCTCACACCATGAGGACAGATCACCCTTGGGACTGTCCCTGTGGCACAGGGACGTGCTGGGCACGCAGCCACATCTCCTGGCACAAAGCCCCAGCAGCCACGAGCTCTGGGGGACAAACATGGAATTTCTGTCCCCTTCCACAACCCCAGGCACTGTCTGCACATCATGTCCTCCTCCCTGGGACCTCTGGACAGGGCACTGCAATGGTGTGGGACAGGATGGATCCTGATGGAGCACGGTCGGGCACTGGAGCGGCGCTTGGGGCAGGGGAGACAGGGAGAGTTGTGCTGGTGGCTCTGCAGCCCAGGAGATGACAACACACCACCACAACGTGGTGCTTCCCTTCCACCCAGAAGCCACAGGGGCAGGGACAAGGACTGGAGCTCAGTGCACTCCAAGGGCACTTCCCTTATCTTTGCTGTCCAAGCACTTCGGCCTCTCTCCAGTTTCACAAAAGAGGGAAGGGAATGGAGCAGGAACAGCTGAGCTGGGCAGGAAGGAGACCTTCCCACCCCTCCAGCTTTCCAGGGGCCAGCTGGTGCTTGGGAATGCCACGCAGCACCTTTGGGAATCTGCAATTCCACCTGCACTGATGCCTTGCTGGCCACGTCCCAGGTGGGAATGAAGGGAAATATCCCATGGCAGCCCAAAACAGGAGGGAAGGAGCAGCACAGTTTGGGAGCATCCACTCTGCCCTGCTGAAGTCCTTCATCCTTCTGACTCCATTTTGACCCTCCATTTTGACCCAACATCTGGTCTTTGCCAACCAGCCAAGCCCAGAAGGAATTCCTCTCCTTGGCACCATCGTGGCACAAGGATGTCTGCTGGGGACAACTGCAGTGAGGAAAGAGGAGGGACACCCAAGGAGGGAAGATCCCATGCTCCAATCTAAACAAGGAAGACCTTCCTTACAGAGCTCCGACACCAGGACACGCCCCTCAATCCACCCAGGAGAACTTGGAGGGGATGCAAACATCAGATAACACAGGAAATAAAAATATTTATCTTAAAATATGGCAGAATTTTCACTTTTGGTGGGTTTTCTCCTCTTGGAGACCTTTGCTCTGCCCAAAGATTTACTGGAATGTGGTTGGGGCGATGAGTGGTGGTGAATCACCAGAAAAAAGGGGGACAGTTGTTGCAACACTCATCCCCTCATGGCAGGGCTGGACCCTGAACCACAGGATTTGGTGTCCCTGTTGCTCAACTTCCCATGAAAACTGTTGGCATTGATGGGAAAGGACAAGGGGAGCCCCTGGGTGTGTCCACAGCTCTCCCCGAGCTGCTCCCACCCAGGAGGCAGCAAGGACAGCACCACGGGGACACCATGGTGGGACATGTCCTCAGGGTTCTCACATCTCAGGAAAACTGAGACACTTGATCAGCTGTGGGAGAAGAAAAGAGGCCACCAGGAAGTTTATTCCCATTTGTCCCCAACCCAACAGATGGATGTTGTCAGGGCAGAGATGTCGTGCAACGTGACAGCCACCATGGAAGGTCCCACCACCATGGAAGGGCTCACCACCTTGGGAACATCCCACCACCAGAGCTTCCTACCACCACAGAAGCATCCCACCATCACGGAAGCTTCCCACCACCACCAGAGTTTCCCATCACCATGGAAGCATCACAGCACCATGGAACCATCATGGAAGCATCCCATCACCTTGGGAACATCCCACTACCTTGGAAACATCCCACCATCTTGGAAACATCCCATCACCAGAGCTTCCCACCATCACGGAAGCTTCCCATCATCACCAGAGCTTCCCATCACCATGGAAGCTTCCCACCACCTTGGAAGCTTCCCACCACCATGGAACTATCTCACCACCAGAGCATCCCACCACCATGGAACCATCCCACCACCATGGAAGCGTTCCACCACCACAATGTCCCACTGCCATAAGAGCATCTCACCACCACAACCTCTTTGGAAACATCCCACCACCAGAGCTTCCCAACACCACCAGAGCTTCCCACCACCACACGAGTGTCCCACTACCAGAACATCCCACCACCATAAGAGCATCCAACCGCCACAATGTCCCACCACCACCAGAGCTCCTCACCACCACACCTCCCCACTACTGGGGTGTCCCACCACCACCTGAGCTTTGTAGGGTGCTCAGACCCCATAAATCGGGTGTTCCCAACCCAAGCAAGTGTTCCTCAGGCTCCCCAAAAGCCCCCTTGGACACAGTTTCTGCCTGTTTGGGCTCTTTTAGCCCAAAATAGGCTTTGTGGTTTGGAGTGGAGGAGGGAAGGAGTCTGTATACGCAGAAACATGGGTTAAAAATCTTCATTTTAAAACCGTTTAACAGCTGAAACTTTTCTCAAGAAAAGTCACTTTCGAAAAGAAAAAACCCAAACCCACAAAGTTGCTCTAAAAAAACCTCCAAAAGAAGAAGTTGGACAAAAACTGGATGACCAAGACCTAAGGGGTGCCCGGTAAGTTCCCTAAACTGGAGAGAAAGAGAGAATTACCGAAAAACAAGGGAGGGGGGGGATAAAAAATGGAGTGAGAAAAGGAATTGCATGGAGCTGAAGTAGAGAAGAAGGAAAAGCCAGGCAGGGACACGCTGATTAGTCTGGGAATCTGATGGGGAAGATGAAATGCAGCTCGTGGGGATGTGGGGAGAAGTGGTGGGGGCCAAGCTCAGCCCTTCCCAGGGAGCAGCAGGTCTTGGGAAGCTCATTGGGAACTCCAGACATCCCATGGCTGATCCAAGGAGCAGGAAGGCTCCATATGCAAACCAGTCCCACTTTAGCACTCTGGATAAATAATGGATTTCTGAGGTAACCTGAGCAGAGCCCTGTGTGTGATCCCTGTCCAGCCTCACACCCTGCTGGGTTTTCTTCCTGCAAAACCCGCTCAGACCTGATCCTTGGGCTTTACTTTCATCCCCCATGTGCTGTTCCCACTCTGGGCTCATCCAGGTCTGATCCCACTGGTCCTGCCTCAGTCTCCCTTCCTCTCCCACCAGAACTTTCCATCCCTGGACACGGAGCAGGGCTGAGGCGTCCCCATCTCCTCCTGCTGCCATCCCTCCCTCTCCACTCCCCCCAAGCCTTGTCCAGGCTTCCCAGCACGTCCTTTCCCCAAACCACCACTTTTTTCCCCCAAAGCACCCCCGCTGCTCCCCCAGCTCTGCTGCCACCTTCCCCTCCCTGTGGGACACCTAAAACCTGGGTGATGAGTGGGAAGGCCCCATCTGGACACTCCGGATGCTGCTGAGGAGCAAACTCCATCTGCTTTTCAACACATTGGTTCCTCTTCCTGGGAGCCACACACAGGGACAGCCCCTGTCCGCTGCCCCCGAGTGGCACCAGAGCTCTCTGGGAGGACCCAGCAGGGTGTGGCAGATCCCACTGGTCACAGAGCCACTCCATGTCCCCACAGCCAGCGGACACAGAGGCTGTGTGTCCCCAGGGCGGCTCCAAGGACAGGGTGGCACCGGCCTGGGCACAATGCCCGGCTGTGGCTGGGCTCAGAGTCCCCACCCCGGTGTCCAGGCCAGCGGGTGGGTGTCCCCAGCACCGCTGGTGGGGGCTCTGGGCTGAGCAGGCCCTGCTGGGCTGGGCTGGGCTGGACTGGGGGTCCATCCCCCGCGATGTCCCCAGACTGCCCCGGGCTCAGCCACAGCATCCCGAGGGTCCCCGTCGCTGTCCCCCCCATGGTGACCCACTGCCCCCCTGGTGGGCGGGGCCAGGTGGCCACACCCACCCCGCCAATCCGCAGCCACTTGAGGCAGCCACGCCCACCGGAGCCCACCCAGCTCACCTGGGAGGGACACGCCCACCCACACAAGCTCCACCCCCTTCCCAAAACCACGCCCAGTTGTGCCAACACCTGGGTTACTTGCCAGGTAACCCAAGCTGGCCCCGCCCCCTGCTCACCTGGGCTGGCCCCGCCCACTCCGATAAGCCGCGCCTACCTGTGTTAACCCCGCCCACTCAACCAAGCCCCGCCCCTTGAACTAACTCAAGGTACCTGTCAGGCCACGCCCTCGAACACAGACCACTCCCCCCTCTCCAGACACGCCCCCTCGGAACTTCACCACTCACCCCCCGCCCGTTCGCATCCCCCGCCCCGCCCGCACCTGGGCGCGCTCGAAGCTCTCCCGCTCCGCCTCCAGGCCGCCGCCGCCGCCCGCCCGCCGGCTCAGCACCTTGGGCAGCGGGTTGGCCACCTGCTTCATGGTGCTGCTCACGCGGTCCATGGCGGCCCCGGACCCGCCGCCGCCCCGGCCCCGCTCCGCGCCGCCGCCGCGCGGGCCCCGCGCCATTGGCCCGCCCACCTGCCACTCACCGCGGGACACGCCCCCAGAGGCACCTCCCGCGCCCCACTGGCCCCGCCCGCCGCCCCGCCTCCTGACTATTATTGGTGGGTTGCGCTGCCACTCAGGAGGGGCCTCGGGCACTCGCCAAACTCATTGGTGCAGCTGGACGCCACTCAGTGCCAGGTCCCGCCCCCCTGAGAGCGCCCCGCCCTCCGCCCCGCCCATGGGCCGCGCGTCCTTAGCAAGGCTGTGGCCACGCCCCCGCGCCCGTTCCCTTCTGTGATTGGCCCTCCCTCCTGCCGCTCACCCCGCGCGGCCCCGCCCCTGCCCCGCCCGTGAGCGGCGCCCCCTGGCGGCGGTGGGCGGGGGCTCTGAGGGGCCGCTCGGTACCGTCCCGGCCGGGACGGGCCGGGATGCAACGGGATGCAACGGGACGGGCTCGGCCGGGCCCGGGACACCCCCGCGGGGTTCGTCGGGCACGGGGGGCTCGGAGGCCGCTGCCGAAGGGCTCTGAGCCGCGGCTGAGCCCTCTGGGTCCGCAGACCGGGGGGGGTCCCACAGGCTGTGCGTGCGGCCTGCACGGCTGGGCCTGGCTCGGCGCGGCCCCTTGTCCACCCATAGCCCGGCCCGGAGTGACACGGCATAACCTGATCCGGGCCGGGGTCTCTGGTCCTGTCACCTATCACTTGTGCGCGGTTAGATGGGATATTGGGAAGAGATTCTTCCCTGGGAGGATGGGGAGGCCCTGGCACAGGTTGCCCAGAGAAGCTGTGGCTGCCCCATCCCTGGGAGTGTCCAAGACCAGCTTGGACGTGGCTTGGAGCAACCTGGTCTAGTGGAAGGTGTCCCTGCCCATAGCAGGGGGTGGAATGAGCTTTAAGGTTCCTTACAAGCCAAACCATTCCATGATTCTATGATTCTCTCAGCCTGGTGAATTGCTGGACTCTGGCTGGCTCCTGTTGTTTTTGACCAGGAATCCCATCCCACTCCAGAGGTGAATTTCCCACTTGGAACATTTCTGCAAAACTGGGACAAATCAGTATTTCTGTGAAGAGACTGAAAGCCCTGAGTCTGCTCCCCAGTGAGTCCCCAGAGATGGTGAAGGGGCTGTGCTGGAGTGGTGCCAGCTGGGTTCCTGCATCCTTAAAAATATGTCTTTGCTCCAGGTGGGGAGGAACTGTGGAAAACCCTGCCAGGGAGATGGGGCAATCTGGGAGCAGCTGTTTGGAATGTGAGCTGTCAGGAGCTCTTGTGCAAGCAATTATCCCAACAGAACTCTTTTCTTGTGGTTTATTTTTCAGCTGAAATCGTTACCACACCGGACCCTCCTGGCGCTGCCCAGCGGGGTGTGGGATGGGCTGTTTGCATCCTGGACCTTCCCGCTCCCTGTGCCTGGGATATCAGATCCCAGCTGCCAGGAAATGGCCTGCATGGAGCAGCGAGGGCGTTTCTCCCACCCCAGACTGTCTGGACTCCCTGTCTGCCCTCTCCCTAATGCACTGTCTGGAAAGCTGCCTCCTTCCTTGGGGCTGCTCCCAGGGGAGGTTTGATGGGCTTAATTCAGCTACTATTGCAGCAAGGTGATTAATAATTGAAGAAATGAAGTCACTGCTGAGTAGAGATGGAGGAAAGGAGGGCATTGGACAAAGGACAGTGAGGGCTTTGTGATCTGGACCTCTCCCACCCTCTACCCAGCATGGAGCATCCTGCCCCTGAACCCCACAGTGAGGGACCACGAGGCTTAGACCTGTCTTAGCTGCCCCCTCTTGCTGAAGAGCAGAGTCACATCCTCCTCTTCCCTGTCCAGGGCTCAGAGCCCACTGTGGGACCTGGGCAGGAGCAGAGGACCGCACCTGGATGTTTCTCCCAGCTGCTCCTGCCTCCTCCAGGAAGCGGCTGGAACAGGATGGAGCCGGGATCCAGCCCATGGGCTGCAGGTCAGACCTCCCTGGGCTGGCCCAGTCCATGCAGTGCCTCTGCTGGAATGTGCTGTGGGGCTCTGCAAGGATTTGGGGGTTTTCCAGTGGGAGAGGGTGCCTTGTTTCCAGGCATTGAGAGAGGGGAAGGCACAGAGCTGTTCCTGTGGGGGGTCTGTTCCTCTGCCTCAGGTTCCACTGGGAGATGATGGAGAAGAGCTGGAAGTGAGCAGGGTGGAGGTGGGGTGGGCTCTGCTCTTCTTCCCCGCTAGCAGGTCCTTTTTGGAAGCCATGGCTGGGGTTCACCTGCTCTGGTGCTCTGTCCTTACTCCTGCCCAGGAGGCTGAACTGGAGGGTGATGGGAGAGCCCCTCATGGGGCTGTCTGGCCTGCGTGGGGACATTGTCTTCCCCACCCACTGTCACATTCCTGGGGCAGGAGGGTCTGGCTTGGGCTTGGGAGCATGGTCACCTTCCTTGCTTCCAGTAGCTCCCTGGATTGCCTCACCTGAGTATCCTGTGCAGGATGGAGACCACGGGTCTGGACATGGAGAGGACACTGGGCAGCCCAGTGCTCTGCAGAGTGTGACACCCCTCAGGTGCTGCCTCAGACTGGGCAGGGGGCATCCTTCATGCCCCGAGGCTCCTGTGTACATCTCCTGCTCCACCAGGACAGCCTCAGAAAGAACCTGCAGCCAAAGGGAAGGAGAAGTGGCAGGAGAGGGGCCAGAAGGGACTGCAGTGGCTTCGGGCCCTGCCCAGAGCCCAGGGATGCTCTTTTCCCAAGGACTGGGAGCTAAAGGCTCCTTTTCCAACCCCCTCCCCAGTGAGAGCTGGGAGAGTCCCAGGGTGCTGCTGGGACTGGCCTGGGCTCAGGGAGAGCACAGACCCCCCTTGTTCCAGCAGGAAAACAGAGGCACAGAGAGTTCCACAGTCCTCCCTCTGTTATCCCGCTGGCTGTGCCAGGGCACATGGCTTTGAGCTAAGATCCTGCTCCTTTCCCCCTCCAGAGGTGGGAAAAAATGGATCCCCTTCAAAAATGGATCCCAAATCCCTTCAACAGCCCCTTTGGAAACCCCAAGGCACAATGTCCTGATCCCACCCCAGCAGATGAGCCGTCCCCTGAGGGGGCACATCTGGAAAGCCCCTCAGGGAGGGCAGTGGCCATGACAAACCTTCCACAAACCCAATCCTGAGCCCCAAACACATCCCTGCCCTGGTGATGGGGTGATTTGCTCAGACCCTGGGATAAAAACACCTTCTGAGCCCAAGTGCCCACCTGGAGGGCAGGTTGGTGGCAGGGTGATGGTCCAGACCTGGCAGGAGGGTCCCTGAGGAGCAAGGAGTGTGCCAGGAGGAGGAGATGTGTGTGTGGAGGGGTGTTCATCTTTGATCTCAGTTTTTGAATGTTTTGGGCAAACCAGATGCTGCTGCTGAGTTTTTGGCTGCTCATGCTCCCAAAGAACCTCTGGGCTGCTCCATGGGGCAGGGACAATCCTGGAGCAGAACCTGGGAGAGCACTGGAGGCAGAGCAGCCTGGGATGGGAGAGGGTCTTGGAGGGGACTGCTGTCCATGGGGCCCTCACCTCTGTCCTGGTGAGGTCTCCTGCTTGCCCAGGAGAATTGTAACCCCAAAACATCGCCTGATGTGTTTTCTGCACTGCAGCTTCAGCAGCTGCCTCTGCTTGTCCAAGAATTCAAAAGCAAAGCTGAGCAGGTTTCCACATGGATCTGCAGGAGAAGACCTGAACCCCACAGGGCCCTTGGGCTGCAGGGGTGGCTGCAGGTGAGAATTCAGCTTGGGAGCAGGACCTGGGGGTGGGAAGTGCTTGCCATCTGCTGGAGAGCTTCCCCTTGGCACAGGCAGCAGATCCAACTGGAGTATCCCACAGAGCCCAGGTCTCTCCCAAGGCAAACTTGCTTTCACAGAAACGTTAAGGTTGGAGAAAAACTCTGAGATCATCAAGTCCAACCTCTGACCCATCACCACTTCAGCAACTAGACCAGAGCACTGAGTGCCACCTCCAGGGCATCCTCTTCCAGTGTCTAATCACCCTTTCTGTGAGGAAATTCTTCCCAATTCTTCCTTTACCTCTCTGTTGTGAGACAGCTTTGGCTGCCAGAGCGGGATCACAGAGGAAAGGGTTATTGTGTAGGATTTGGGGTGTGCAGGCTTGGGTGTGGGAGTCCTATGCTGCCCCTGGGGCAGCGTGAGGAGTGCAT